CCTTCAGAGGGGATGGCATGCCTTTCTTTGGGATACAGGACTTCTAAACAAAAATATTTCCACAGACATCTGATTAGAGATTCGTTGATATACAATTGGATCAAGGTTAAAAAGAAACACTATATAAAAATCCCAATTTAGCTATCTACATTGGAAGCGACGATCCACCCAAATAATTTAGATCTGAACAAAATGTTAAAATATAAAGACTTATTGGATACAAATGGAAATTTAAAAACAATACAAGAGCTCCAAGAACAAGGGCTACAAGTTGACTGGTGGGCTTATCTTCAAATACAAAGTCGATATAAAAAAGATGTAAAGGAGCATGGAATATACTTGAAACCACAACAATTAGACAAAATTTTATTAGGCCCAGATAAAAAAAATATTACCAAAATTTACAAGTATCTCCTAGAAGTAGAATTAGAAGAAGTAGTGAAAGGATGCATGATTGCATGGGGTCAAAATATTGGTCATAACATAAAGTTATCAGAGTGGGAGACTGTATGGAATAGAAAGCACAAATTAACAAAATCAGTGACATACAAAGAAAATGCATATAAAATGTTCTATAGGTGGCACTTACCCCCTTCAAGATTAGCGAAAATGTACCCTAAAATGAGTTCCATATGTTGGAAATGTAAAAAAAAAGAGGGAACATATTATGTGGTGGTCTTGCCCAGAGGCTCGAAAATACTGGCTAAAAATTCAGAATTGGCTACAAGAAATCACCAATGAACAACTAGACCTAGAACCAGAACTCTTCCTATTGGGGATCTTCAAAAAAAAAAAAATGTAAAGAGTACAAAATATTTATTATTACACATACTGACTGCTGCCAGGATTGCCTTTGCCCATATACACCTGTAGAGGAACTGGTTGTACAAAAAGTTATGAATTGTGCTGAAATGGATAAAATAACATTGCGTTTAAAAGATAAGGAATCTTCAATATTTTATAAGGTATGGGAACAAGGGTATAACTGGATAGATTGGAGACAGACTAAGGATAAGTAATTATTAAATATAGAATATAGATAAAATAAGAATATAATTATCCACAAATTAATATTTGTAAATATCGCACAAATGATTGTTACACGTTAAGCACCGCAAACAGCTGTTATTATATATTTTTTATGTTTTTAATGTAATAAAATTCAATAAAGTTTATTTTAAAAAATATTAAGAGTTTGCTTTGAATAATCTGCATGGCAATTCCTTAACCAACTTTATGAATGAAGCTTTTGTTCTTGTGTAATGTAATAGTTTGTGATAAACTTTATACATTTTAACTTTACCAAAAATGATTATATGATCATTTAATATAAATCCAGATAGCCATTCCAAACTCTTAAGATACAGTAAGGTACCTACGGTAGTGAAATGATTCAACACAAATTATTTCTATCATTTAGCTTGAGTATGATTATGAATGTAATAAATTACAATATGTATCTTATTTTACATATGTATATGTATTTTATATATCATATACACTAGTTAGTATCACATTGTTGACTTAGGTGGCTTTATAGATTCATATATGATGACGACGATAGATAGATAGATAGATAGATAGATAGATAGATAGTAATTTATGTCCAGTTTACTATAATTACAAACTGGATAAAGGCTCACAATTCTCTTTTAACGCCTGTGGGTGTACTGGAGAGGATCACAGCATCATCTGCATAGAGCAATTGGGTGATGCTTCAGTCACTTATTTTGGGGGGGGGACAGTAATTTGGTTTATTTAACCATTTTACAGGATTTATACAAAAGTTGAAAAGCAAGGGGACCAAAATGCACCCCTGTTTAACTCCCTTTAGATGTTTTACTTTGTAAGGCAAATAACAAATGGAGAATCCTATGATCAATTGAAATGGCTTCTAGATTCTCCCATAGCTTGGTCTGGTAACCGTCTCAAAAGCTACCTTGAGATCTATAAAGGCAGCTTATAATGATACAGATCTATTTGATATATATTTTTTCAATCAAATGATGGTGAACTAAGCACTGATCTATGATGCCCCTTCCCCTCTTTAAACCCAGCTTGCTCTTCAGCAATCAAGTTCTCAAAATCCATCCACACCTTTCATTTATCTTGGAGATGTTTGGAGTAGAGCTTGATGATTATATTTAGCAGACTTATTGGTCTGTAATGAGCAGTGTCATCTCTCTTTCACTTTTTAAAAATTGAGACAACAATTGTCAAGCCCCAATCCTCTGGCTCAGGCCAATGGAGTCGATATAGGTGAATAACACCACCAGGACTGGTGTTCACCACTCCATATTGTTCTTTAATAGTTCAGCAGAAATGAAGTCAGCTCCTAGGGCCATCCCAGGCATGAGTTGGCCAAAGAGAGATTTAATTTCAGACTCTGAATCTGGGGGCCACTCAGATAAATCCTTCATTGTATACCTTATTCTCTCGCTGGAGGGTCTTCATACATTCTCCAAAAATGAAGTCCCCAGGTTGTAGGAAGTATATGGGAGTCTAATAGGGTATAAATTCTGTCAGAGTGACAGGCTATTAGACTCCAGAATAAAAAAGAGTTCTTTTGCTTTGCTGCCTTCCTGTTCCCAGGAAGACCTTGTGTCGTGTCTCTTTTTAAGTGCACTCAATTGCATTATAAAGTATGAACTTTTTATTTATACTGATATTTATTATATTGATAAATACTTTTGAAAAAAATGATAGCATTTTATATGCCTAACACAATTTTACATAAAATAATAATCATATTAAAAATTTTTCCTAACACTTCACTGGTCTTAAGAATAGACATATTGTCTCTATCTGCATTTTTCTATCATCGTTTTCTTCCCTTTTTCTTGGTAAAACACCTGTGTTTCTTCTTTCTTATAACATGTTATACTGCTTTTATAAATTGTTTGCTAAATACTTTACTGACTTTATTCTACTTTTATTACATTAATGTGAGTGCCAGCAAGTATAACTATTATCTCATTATTTCTCCTTGATAGGAAACATTATATTAATATTGTCAATAATTTGGTAAACTATTTTTAACATTTTAAATGGTAACAGATAAGTTTACTATAAATATTTAATCATTGAGTACACAAAACATTTGAAACCAATTGTAATTATTAAAATATTATAATTAATAATATTATAGCTATTCTTTTATAGCCTCCAAAAATACCTCAGATCACATATTAATTCAACCAACAGTTCTGAAAACAGTTGTGGATAGGTTGCCCAGTCCTGTGAACACTTCAATACTCATTAAAGTACATTTTATTTCAAAATTCTCTCAGACTAAATCAACAACAAAAGTATAGTAGTTGTCTGAAAATTCATTTAAATTTAAACCCATAAATAATTTTTATGCTCTATCTCTTCCCTTTTGTAGCAATTACATAGCATATTAAAATGTATCTTTATTAGGAAGGATTAGTTTTATTGACACCAAATACCAGATTTGGGATTATCGTTAGCTGTAATTTCTTTCCTGTATCTATTCATTGTTTTATTTGCATGTATGTGTCTAATATGTAATTTGTTTTGTCTATGTTAGCTGATCTTCTGAAGATGATTATGTTGAGTAAGTGCTAGATGCTCTATGTGTATTAATTGCCTCACTGTGTAGAAATAAATAAAGCAGATACAAAAAAAGGGTTTTCAAACTGTTAGGCTGAAAAGCAGTTTTCCTACCACCAAAGAAATCCTTTCTGCCATAGCTATTTGATGCAGCTATAGAAGGACAAATATAGTATCTTAATTTTAGAAAAAGCTAAAGGCTACATGTAGTCTTTGATTTACAATTATTATGATGATGACACTGAAAAAAGTTACTTACGACTGTTCCTTGCATTTATGACCATCATAGAGTCCTTGCAATCATGTGATCAAAATTTCTGTGCTTGACAACCAGCATATATTTATGACAATTGCAACATCCTGCAGTCATGTGATTGGCATTTGCAATCTTCCAGGGGGCTTCCAACAAGAGAAGTCAGTGGGGGATTTGCTTGACAATCACAGAATTAATTTAATGACTGGAGTAAAAAGTCATAATATTGGATGCCATTCACTTAATGACTGCGTCAGTTAGTAACACAGTTTCAGTCCTGATTGTGATCGTAAGGGTTACCTATATGGGAAAATGTTATGCCATTTTTAAAGAAAGCAACCTTTCACTTGCATATGAGAAAGAACTTTTCTTTCCAACTGCTGTATCAGCAGCCATAATAAAAATATAACTTTTTTATCAGAAAACTAATTCTCCATTCCTGTGTCAAATCAATAGTAGTGGAGGGTCAGCAAAGGGACAATGGGATGCTCGGCAGTCTTGGGTATATAATAGAAATCATTATAATCTATAAGCAGCCTCAGATCAAATTCAGGGAGAAGATTAAAGTAACATGTTGCCCTTTGAACACATCATTAGCACTGTTCCCCATCTGGCTATTGGCAACGAGTTTGGGATTGCTCAAAAATTCTGAGAGTTTTAAAACAAAGAAACCATTCTTCCCAGTTTCCTTTTTTTTCAAAAGGAGTTTGGTATTGTTGTTTCTTTATTTAAGGAGAAAGATAAAATAACAAAAGAAAATTGCTATTCTAATGATACTATTAAACTAAACCCCAAGGTATTGGAAAGAGATGTAATAAACAAATATTTACCTTGTTTGAAAAATTTGGAATATGTTAGCACATAAGTCCTTTACAAGGACCTGGGGTAGGGACCTGGGATAGGCAGATATTGATGTTTGATGGTGTTAGTAGTATTATTTCAGGTAAAACATTAAAAGTATAATTGTAGCCTCCTGTGAGCTTTCCTCAACACAAAATACATTCAATGAAAATCTGAACAAGTAAAAAGGCAACTCCATAGTGTAGGAATAAGGAGTTAATCCTATCTTTCCACTTTGTCTCCTTTCACAACAGCTGTTTCTGAATGTGCTTTTAACTTGTATTACAGAAAATAAACCATAATCAAGAAACTCAAAATCAAGTATAAGATTTACCTTGATGTGTGCTGCTTGATGTGGGACACTTTGAATCATGTCCTTTAACAGCCAGTGTATGTGCCAAAAGTTGAGAGCCATAGGCAACTGTTAATCCAAGAAAACATACTCATGTAATTGTGATACTCATGTTTTATATGTAATGTTTGAGTCTTCTGTAAGATAAAAAGAGAACTAGAAGGAAAAGAGCATCAAAAATCTCTTTTCACATATTTCTATCAATTCTTTGTGAATCCATACACACTTTTCAACTGCAACCAATGCCATTTATTTCTAAATAATCTAGACCTTATGCAAGTAAAAAGTATATATGATATACAAATGATACACAAATATATCATTTCTATCCACAAGCAATATTCATGCTAATTCTGCACTACTTTATGTGCTACACTAATAATAATAATCATCCTAATCATTAGGAAAGAAAGAACAATCTCAAATAAATATTTATATTCCACTTTTCTGTTCACACTCAAAGAAAATGACAATAAAAGTGGATAAAGTTAATGTTTAAATGTTTAAAAGCCATTAATTGTTACCATAAAAATTGCACTAAAAACTAAGGCATTCTTTCATATTTTTCTCATGCAAAATACTGAATTCTGACAATCTTACCCTTTGCAAAAGACATCCAAAAACAGAATTATATCTATAAATTTATTTGTTTTATTAGGAAAACTTTTCAACGAGATACAGCTCAATAAATGGTATATAATATATGTAGTCACCTTGTGGGGAAATGGGTGGCATAAAAATAGAATAAATGAAATAAAATAAAAATATATTTTAACTTCTAGTTATTTCTTTAATACTTTAGTAACTGAGATAGTTGTTTCTTTCATGGTGTGTCTCTAATAGTTCCAGGAACATGAGACAGTAATAAAAATAATTTTAAAACATTTAATGTTATGTTTCAGCTCAAATAAAATAGGCAATGCATTTTTAAGCATTATGATAACACTACTACATGATGGTGCTATTCATAACTGAGCTAATATATAAAAATGAATGGATGACAGGAAGAATGTGTCCATTCCATGATATTGTTCCATTCTTCAAAAATCTCATTCAATATTTTTATTATTATACCATCTTGCAGGCCTGTATATATTTCCTTTACCTAAAATATTTAGTCCTCTTTAGTGTTCAGGAAATATGAAATTATTTATGTTGTGTCTTGTAAAAGCCAAAACTACTTCTGAGATTTGGGGAAGTAAATCCAGAAGAGGTGTTGATGATGCATTCCTGAATAATTAAAAAAGTGAAAATAATTCTTAAAAGTGAAAAAGAAATGGATCTCTGATTTAAAAAAAAACAACCTTCTGCTTTATTGACAAACTCAGAGGTAAGAGAGAATCCCTAGGCTAGGTTGAAGAGATAATTGTTTAGTTTAGTCAACATTTAGTTCAAAATGTAGATATCATTGGGACAGTGAAATACGCCATCAGCCTCTTCCCTCTTGTTTTTTACAATTTTTTTATTCCAGGCTCATTCCAAAAATAATTCTGTTATGAAAGACAGTATTCAAATATACAAGTATCCATAAATGCTGTAAAAAATATGACGTATACGAAAAAAGAGTGGGGATCATGAGGTTTCAGATATCACCTTTTTATTTTTAAATAGCTATCACTGATGTCCTTGCTTAAGAAGTCTGCCACCCTAAACTCACAATATAGTAATGGGAAAAATATCAACTAGATATCCTTTATCTAGTTATCAACTAGATATGGTGAAGTAGGAAAGGGTTACACAACTTTTCCCCTCTCCATTTCAATAAATCTGTAAGGATCTCTGCCAAATTAACAAGTGTGAGCTCAAGGCCCTTTTTTGGCCTAAAGCAAATGTCAGTTATCCATTTCTTCTTCCTTGACAAATTATTAAGAAAAATGATAGAAGAAAAATGATAGAAGAAACACTGGTCAATGAGATATGGTGATTGCACAATGACAGCCTTATATGGTAAAATCTTAAGCATTTATTTATATACCATATTATATTATGGTAATAATTAGCTTGCTGAAAACAGAAAAAGGTAGCTAGCATAATTAATAACTAGAGACTTCAATCTATCTCTAAGAGAAATATACTTGGTGTGTGTGTGTGTGTGTGTGTGTGTGTGTGTGTATTTGTTTTCTTAAGTTTTCGCGGGTATTTATATGTATGGTATCCAGCTTTGTTCGGGTATTTTCACATGTCATTATAGTTGTGCTTTTAAAGTTGAAGCATTTCGGCAGAATCTCATCTGCCATCATCAGGCTTCTGTATAGTGTTCGTTTGTGAGTCAGACTTTCACAGCCGTTTCTGTTTTAAATTTGGTGCTAGCCTACTGCTGTGCCAGAATGTTTTTTTCTTCATCCTGATTGGTTGGGAGTCTTGGTCTGTGTTTATTGGTCTTGTAGAACAGAACACAGCAAACTCCAAGAAAACAAATACATAGATAGATAGATAGATAGATAGATAGATAGATAGATAGATAGATAGATCAATCTTTGGTTATTCAGGTTTTTTCCTGCGTAAAATTGGAAGTAACCTGGCGATGTTTCAATGAAATCTCATTCGTCATCTTCAGGCTTGTGTCTTCGGCTTTGTACTTCTCAGAGTAATGTGAGCTTGCAGCTGCTTCTTCCTTTTAACTGCTAGTGGGGGTGTGACTTGATTGGGTGGGGGCTTGGCTGTATTCTGATTGGGTGGGGGTGTGTTCTCATTAGTTGGGGGTTTGGCTGTGTTCTGATTGGCTGGGGGTGTGTTCTGTTCAGGTGGGGGCTTGGTTGTGCTCAGGTTAATCTTAGTTGCTGGGGGATTTGAGCTGGTCAGCTGTGATCCTGTTGTTAGGCTTCACATTTGTGGTCATGCCACATCTTCATGGTGGGTGTCCGTTCACTTCATGTATGGGTCCAGGGGGCGTTGAAGCGGGTAGTGATGTAGCTGCGGTATGGCTTCTGGTCCGTGGTCGTGTCTCATCATCTGTGTGGGTGTGAGTCTGCTTTCTACGTGGAAGTATGGTGGTAGCATCTTGTGTGGCCCTCGTGGGTGTGGGTCTGGTGTCATTCTTTATGTTAGGTACTCATTTGTTAATGAGGGCGGGTTTCCAAATGGCTGGTAGGCGGGAGGTATCATCTTGTTTATTCATGCTGTGTGGGCGTTTTTCTATCTCTATGGCTTCTCTGATTATTCTGTTGTTGAAGTGTTCAGTTTTGGTGATAGTTCTGGTATTTTTAAAGTCAATCTCATGTCCTGTGGCTTTGAGGTGTTGGACCAGGGAAGAGGTTGGTTCTTCTTTTTTGATTGAGTACTTGTGTGCACTTATTGAAGAACACAAGAACTCAATCAAAAAAGAAGAACCGACCACACAGCATGAATAAACAAGATGATACCTCCCGCCTACCGCCCTCATTAACAAATGAGTACCTAACATGAAGAATAACACCAGACCCTCACCCACAAGGGCCACACAAGATGCTACCACCACACTTCCACGTAGAAAGCAGACTCACACCCACACAGATGATGAGACATGACCATGGACCAGAAGCTGTACCGCAGCTACATCACTACCCACTTCAACCCCCCCGACCCATACATGAAATGAACGGATGCCCAGCATGAAGATGTGGCACGAACACGAACACGAAGCCAAACAACTGTCAGCTTTCAAGATCTACTGCTTTGCATCTTTTCTACTGCCTTGCATCTTTTGGCTGCCATAAGTAATGCGGGGAGGAGGGGGGATATTGTCTGGAAAGAGAGCTGGAGGTGTTACATTCTTGTGTTGCGAAAATGAGGAGTGGGAGGGAGTATAAATTCCTGCTTTTCCTCGCTTAGCTTTCTTTTCTCTGCGCAGCTGCAAACCTTTATCAAAGTATGCCAAGGTCAACAGACAGAGGCCTCATCATCACCTGAAGATGTCTACATGATCATATTCATAATTTTTAATTGGAAGAAACTTTTGAACTATGGGGGGTGGGAACAACTTCATCACTTTGTATATATGATCTGCGCACCTAAATTCTCAGATTCAGAATCCTATTTGATGCTACCACTTCATTTTTCAGTAAAAGAATTCTTTTCTTTAATTTATGGAGTCTAAGTATTTCTTTCTTGGATTTTGAATGGAGCACCGGCTGACAAACAGGATCACAGCTCACCAGCTCAAAACCCCCAGCAAGTAAGATTAACCTGAGCACAACCAAGCCCCCACCTGAACAGAACACACCCCCAGCCAATCAGAACACAGCCAACCCCTCAACCAATCAGAACACAGCCAAACCCCCAACCAATGAGAACACACCCCCACCCAATCAGAACACAGCCAAGCCCGCACCCAATCAAGTCACACCCCCACTAGCAGTTAAAAGGAAGAAGCAGATGCAAGCTCACATTACTCCGAGAAGCACAAAGCCGAACACACAAGCCTGAAGATGATGAATGAGATTTCGTCAAAATGTCGCCAGGATACTTCCAATTTTACGCGGGAGAAAACCCGAATAACCAAAGATCCACATACAAATACCCGCAAAAACCTCAGAAAACAAATAGATAGATAGATAGATAGATAGATAGATAGATAGATAGATAGATAGACAGACAGACCAATACTTGAATACAACTCATCAGTCTGGAACCCACATTACATATCTGATATTAGCACAGTTGAGAAAGTCCAGAAATATTTCACAAGAAGAGTTCTCCACTCCTCTACTCATTGCAGAATACCTTATGTCACCAGACTTGAAATTCTAGACCTAGAAAACCTTGAATTACGCCGTCTTTGGTCTGATCTAAGTATGATCTAATCATACATTGCAATGACTTACCTGTCAATGAATACTTCAGCTTCAACCATAACAACACAAGAGCACACAATAGATACAAACTCAAGGTTAACTGCACTAAACTTGATTGCAGGAAATACAACTTCATCAACAGAGTGGTCAATGTCTGGAATACTCTACCTGACTCTGTAGTTTCTTCCCCAAACCCCAAAAACTTTAACCTTAGACTGTCTACTATTGACCTCACCCTTTTCCTAAGAGGTCTGTAGCGGGCGTGCATAAGCGCACCAGTGTGCCTGCTGTCCCTGT